GATGGCACAGAGGTCTTCCAACTTCAAAGACTTTGAGCTCTTTGTAAAAAAGAAACCATCAAAATACCAGAGGAAGTTTGCAAAACTTTGATCACTTGAATGCCAATAAGAGTTTCCAGGAAATTATTCAGAAAATCATCATTTTTGTAAAATGTAGATGAAAATAGATAAATTATTTTTAATGCAACCTTTTGTCGTCAGTTGAGAAACGCCTGTATCGAATTTCTTAAAGGGTTGAAATTATTTTTAATCTAACTCTGACAGCAGCATGAATCATTTTAGATTCAACATGTCCGAGGAGCAGCTGCCCACAAGATAATACAATCCACTTCATCTCTTCTAACTGCCTGTTTTTATATCATAATATGCATTAAAACACACGGCGGACCCCCTGCTATCGCTACAGCAGCCGCTAACATCTGCAGCTAACATCTGCAGCCTCCTCATTTCTGCTTTCAGGACTCCAGCCAATCAGCACAGAGGAAAAGCAATGTTGCTCTTGGATTGGCTGCATTGCAAAAAGCAGACCAATAGGATGTCAAGTAGCTTTACAACAAAGGATTTCAGCTTCCTAAGCTTCACTTTCTTTCCAATATTTTACATATGAAAAATCCACAAACAATAAATGAACTGGGAATATTTCACCCAAAACCCACATTTAGGCCACTGGCAGGATTTATTCCACATTATTATAACTAATAATTTATATACTGTAATATCTTGCAGCAGCAGGAGTAATTGTTACTTTTTATGTATTTTTATTCTTATTTTCAGGTTTTAGTACTCCTTTTAATACCAATTTTATATTTTATTTTTTCACACCATATAAATATTGTAGTTTCTAAAGTCTAAGCTGATTTTATGGTTCCCTCAAAAATCCAGGAAGACGTTTTGAGCATCAAATTTATTATGGCAAATATGAAAATGCTGCTCGGTCCCAGGCGAATGATGCAAATATGTAACAATTTACGGTGCTTCCAGCCGTTATGTGGTCCAAATTAAACCAGGAGTGTTAAAGATGGTTTTATGTTTTGGGTATTTGTAGAGAATTCAGGAACTGTGCAAACCAGCAGCCTTACAACCAAATGAATATTTCAGAAAGAAAGATTTCTGTACAATTTTACAACCAGCTTTCTTGTCGTTTGAGGACAAATCTTAAAAATGAAGCACCTGCTCAGTGAAAGTGGACTGTCTGGAGTTATCTGTCAGACGTGAAGGAGCAATGGCCGCCAGAGACGCGACAGAGCGTAAGTGGAAGCAGAACGACAGAAACCGACAGCAGGACTTCACGTCTGGGAACTTCTGAAAAACCTGCAAACAATCTCAGCCTGAAGCTCATTTACACCTTTTGATTCCCATCAAAAAATCCACTTCTGCATAAATAATCTGCACCAGACAGTTTCAATCCAAGCATCTTTTTAAATGTAAAATCCTCCTAATTTATACAAAGACACATTTTGTGCTGAGTTTCATCCCAGATGACTGAGCTGACACATGAAAACAGGCTGAGACACCAAGGAAGATCCCACTGTGTTTACTTTTGTCACATTAGCAGCTCAGAACTTCACAATGAAACTCTGCCCCCTCCCCCACATGTTGCTTCTACTCTCTAACCAGAAGCATTTTCAGCTGAGAGGAATTTAATCATTAACTCTGCAGCAAAGTGCTCATGGTTTAACTATTAGAAACTCACAAATAAGACATTTCGGGTTTTATCAACCGAAGCAGACCAATCAGGATCCCTTGATGGGAAGTTGGATTAGTCAATACACGCTGTTGGACTTGAACGCTCCACTGGGATATTCCCCCCCGCCTCCTCAACGCTCCACACATTTGGACTTTGACTTCAGTCCGTCCTCTGGTTATGTTTTAGATTTGGTTGACCTACATTTACCGCCGCTGTAACATTCTGTCAGAGTGCAAAGTGGGTCAGGAGTGTTCAGAGTGGGAATTACAGATTTCTGTGCTATAAACAGATGTTGGGTCTGTTCATCATCAGAACACGCCGCTAATTCCACCATCGCCGTGTCTGTAGGCGCTCACGGCTAATTCAGGACACACACAGCAGACAGTGTGACCTTATCATGGTGTATAAATGCATGTTCTGTCTTCAGTGATTCGTCCTTTCAGAATTAAAACATGCAGTTCAAAGGAAGTGTCATGTTGATTCTCTTTGCCAACAGAGAAACAACTGCAGCTTCAACGCCTGACGAAGGAACGACTCCACCACTGCCAGGGCTTCAGACGTTTGATTCCCACCGAAGCGTCTTCCCGTCAACGAAGTCTTCGACAAATGATATGATGTTCAACACAGAAAAGAGGTCAGATGTCCCCTCTAGAGAGAGCGACTTTTAAATCTGCCACTCATGAAACCTTTAAAAAGTCTTCTCAGGCAGAAAAGTATTAATTTACTCTGCCAGAGTCGCACAAGAGATATTCACTGATTTCTTTTCTGCGAGGGAAAATCTTTAAGTGGAGTCAAACACATGATCTGTCTGTACGTCTGTGTAAAAATAAATAACATCCACAACAAAACTCTCTCTGATCTTGAAAGGTTTTGTGTCCTTGTGAAAACGGTGATGCATGTGAATAAACAGGAGTGCTGGACGACCCGGCGGACGCTGAACGGTCCTGAGACCTCTTCCAGGAAACAGATACCAGCATTAAACATTCATATCAGCTTTCCAGGAATACTCTATTATTCATATCATCCTTAATTTTCCTGTGAAAACAGCTAGTCTAGAGTAACACAGATTATGAAAAGCAATAGATGAGATGTATAAGAGCTTCAGTCAGGAGAGAAACCTGAACATTTCCGCATCTCCCCCAAAAAATGTTCAACCAAAATACATCAGTTTGATGATATTTACACAAATTATTAGGCCTGCACAGATTCATATGTTTTTATGATTGATGATGATGGACTCAACTCTTTCATTTCCATCATCTCAGCACAACACTTTGTTAGATTCAGCATAAAATCTGCTTCAGTTGTGATGGTCGGCTGCCAGAGCAACCAGTCCTTTATGAGGATGAACATGTTGCACATGATCTTAATGTTTTTATTCAAAACAGAAAATCAATAACGGCAGCGATATGTTGATGATGGTGATGTTACGTTTAACATTTATTTATTATTTTTGCTTGTGGTGTAAAGACTAAACCAAATGAACTCTTGCTAATGAAAAAGCATCATCAGCTGCTTGTTCTGCAGAATGAATTTCTTGCAGGAGTGAAAATGTTATTCATTCTTTCAGCCAGCTATCTGACAGCAACAGGTTGGGGAGGGGCTGTACAGTTTTACGGTAAATTCCAACTTGAGAAAACTTCACACTGGCAGTTTTTTCTCAAACATTTCAGTAAAACTCTACATTTTTCTGAGGGAATTTGCTGCAAACGATTTTAAATGATTACTTTTGAAAACCTGGGCATGCTTCACTTCTCAGCCAAAAACTGATCAATAATTCATCAACAATATAGCAGCTGACTAAGAATTTGAGAAATTAAGTTTTGTTTAGATTTCAGAAATGAAATGACAAAAACTACCATTGCCATGCTATCCCCAAACACTTTGCCTCTGTTTAAATCACAGAAGGAGGATTTGCACAAACAAATCCTCCTTCTGACAGAAACATCCAAAATGTTCCATTTTACGCCTCGTTATCAAACTAAATCAGGAGCAACTTCTGCAGCCGTAAACACGCATGCGGCGCATCAGGAGATTTCCTCGGGTTCATCCAGTCGGAAAGGAGCATGACCGACTCGGCGTGGCTTGCGGGTTTCTTTACATGCCAGAGTGCAGCGGTCCACACGCACGGCGAGGCGCAGGAGTTCACCGCAGGAAGCCTGGAGGGATCCGCTCAGACGGGAGCGGGGCGGGTGTTCCTAACCTGTCCGGAGGTGTTTTTGTTTGTTTGTGTTTGTTTACTTCAGTGAAGAACAAAGGACGCAGAGGACATTATCTGTCCTTCAGCGTCCACTGGCTAAGTGTCCTTCAGAGGGATTTGCTGCTGTTGACCTTATCTGTCTCCTGATTAGACTGAAGTGCAACATCTCCATTAAATACAGAGATATTTAATGAACTGAGTTTTAAAAGCAGCAGAAAGCACATAAATTACGCACAACTCGCATGTTTTACTGACATTTCTGCGTAAATATTTGCGGGATTCCATATTTTTCTTAACATAAAAACTTCCCTGATATCTAGGCAGGAAAATGTAAATTCAAGAATTAGAAATTTGAGATTTAGTCCAAAATATGTGCAAAAAATTCAACCAACTGCCGCAAAGCAATTCGCAGAGATCACTTTGGTCTCATTTTGGTTAAATACACGCCAGCGCGCGCCTCGTGGGTTGGGTGTCGCTGCTTGATGATAATTAATAAGGCGAAGCGCTCCTCTCCACCAACACGTTTCCACTGAACCTCTTTGGCATCAACTGACCCGTTGTTAATCCAACACAATCCAACAAATGTTGCGGCATTCTCTTATAGCGGCTCCCGGTGTCACTGAACAAACAGCATAATTAACGCGCAGAAACAAAGGGAGGATTTTACAGGGCGCCGTGAATGCGTCGGATTTGGAGAATGTTTGAGGGACAAGCGGCGAGGAGCCGCAGGTGGGACTGATTATTTACCCACAGAAGCGGCTGGATGCGCGGAACCTTGAAGGCGCTGCGCACCTTTACGCACCGGAGATCCGCCTCTTCCAAAATGACATGTGTCTCCTAAAAACTGGAAACGCGTCAATTTGGACTAACGTGGACCGATATGTGTCCGTTCGGTTTGGCAGCTGCTCTAGAAATGTCTCAGTTTAGCATTAAAAACGTGAAAATGGTCAGATCTGTCTGAAAGCGCTACTGCAAAAGTGCAAATTAATCCGCAGAAAGCGCCACTTGTCTTTGTTCTGTTTTTAAGTTCTCGACCTTAATGAACATTACGCACAACTTTACGCAAAGAAACGCGATCCTTGCCCCAAAAATAAAAGAGAAAGTCCGGTTTACCTTCTCTCCTCATGCCGACTTTGAGACACTTCTTGAGCCGGCAGTACTGGCACTGGTTCCGGTGGTGCTGGTCGATGGGACAGTCCCGGTTCCCCCGGCATGTGTACGTCAGGTTCCGCCTCACCGAGCGCTTAAAGAAGCTTTTGCATCCCTCGCAGGTGAACTGGCCGTAGTGCTTCCCGCTGGACTTGTCCCCGCACACCATGCAGTCCACGTTGGGGAGCTTATCCCCGGAAAGCGCGTCGTTCCCCGGTGTGGAACCGTTAGGAGTCCCCGGTCCCCCGCCGGGCTCCTGGCCGCACATCTGCAGCTGGGAGCCCGGATCTGCAGAAATGTTCTCTGGCCACTGGTTTACTACCATTGCCATGCTATCCCCAAACACTTTGCCTCTGTTTAAATCACAGAAGAAGCCGGAGTGCGCGGTAGAGATCCGTCCTGACGTCTTGAAGGAAAACAGAAAACAGGACGGGCGAAGAGGCGCTTCCCTCCGTCCTCAGGGGTCAAAGCGAGCCGGTCTGAACTGAACAGAGTCACTTTTAAAATACGACTCAATACTTTGTGTAAACATCTATTATAGTACAAAGCAACCGCGGGGAATCAACATGATCGACGTCGAACTGCAAAGCCAACAACTCCCGGAGTTCCTCTCTGCGCAGCGATCCATAAACACGTTGTTCTTCAAAGCGGAACCTCTCGGGAAAGTCAGTCCAACAACTGAGCAGCTCGGCTGTCAGTGAAAACACTGTCAGGATCCTGTCGGCTGTTTTATCCTAAACTGGGAGAAAGCGGCACAAACTGCGCAGGAGGCAATTATCCCGCAGCTCACGCCCTCCGGCTCGGTTCTGTTCGGGTGCTATCGAGTCTTCAAACACAAATTTAAACTAATTCTGACCACGTGTGTGAAGCTTTCAGAGGAGGATTTGTTTTGTCCCAGCGGCACAAAGTCCAGAGGGGAGGAGAGGAGATGACTGGATCCTCTCCGTCCTGCGCGCAGCGGAGCGAAACGCAAAACGATCTCAGTTTGCGCACAAGTTTTTTCTTTACCACAGACTGACGGGATTTCCTCCGAGGGTTCAGGATGACGGTCCGCTGAGGAGAACCAAACCAAACTACGGATCCAAACAGCAGCGCTGCTCGCCGGGTCGCCCTCAGACTGGGTGTCCTGTCTTCCAGAGTCAAAGCTCCAGTTGGGGGAACGTGTCAGAGACGGGAGACCTCCCCTGCCGGCGCACCATATAAGGCAATAAATGCCAAATAAGGCCGCTTCTCCTCCCCTCCGTGTGAGGAGAGGGACGAGAGAGGCCGGCCGGGATTGGCCCGAAAAGTCGAGTAAAACCGGCCAGAAGCTCTCTGATTGGGAGATGAGCGATTTGACTGACAGGAGGCTTCAGCGGGACCCGAACCGCTCATTCAGGACAGAATGCGCAGATTGTTTGGGTTTGTTCCAATAAGTTCTTAGTTAAAACTCTGAAGTTAAAAACATAGTTGAGACCTGCACAGGTTGCTCATGAGTCAGATTTAAGAGTTTAAACAGTAAACCTTCATAACGGGAAGGTTTTTCTGAGTTTCAGAGGAAAAGGACTAGAATTTAAAAACAAATCAATATGTATCTGTCTGCACATAAATCGGGTCCCGGTTTAATGTTTTTAACTCTTATTTTAATTTAAATTTTCCGCTCAGATTTGATTTGATCAGAAATAGATGGAAAAAAACCCGCAGGATGAATTTCAGCTCCTTTTACTTAAATGTCAGGATTTTAAATGAGGGGAAAATTCAGACAGGAACTGAAATTTATGCCCCACCGTTTTCAGACACAACGATAAAAGTTACATTTCTGCAGTGACACCTGAGGGAAATGAAATCCAGTTGTTTTCTCGGTGATGTAACTTATTCTCCTTATTTTATCTTTTAAAGTCATTAGTAAGTTATGTATTAATTTATTTATTTTTTTACGTGTTTATGGGTGTTTTTTATTTATACGTTTTGCACATTTTACTCTTATTTTCCATGCAGCTCGTAACAGAAAATCTGTCCAAGTTCCAGGGAAACTTCTGCTCTCGGAAGCAAAACAAGCCTGATGCTTTGGTTCAAACCAAACAGAAACACAGAAATACATTTAACAAATGAATACGGGCTGATAAGACAACAGTTCAAAGTGCGACATAAAGCGTTTACTGGTGGAAAAAAAAAACAATAACAAAAGTTTTTTTGCGGGTCTGATGCTCCGGGACTTCAGTGGCTCCCAAACGAGGCTCTGCGGTAATTGAGGGTTTAACACTGAGAGCAGCGGGAGCCTGATTATTTCCCCAGATATAATCAGGCTGCACAGTGGCGCTGTTGCCTTGCAGCAAGAAGGTCCTGGGTTCGATTCCCGGCCCGGGGTCTTTCTGCACGGAGTTTTCATGTTCTCCCTGTGCGGGTTCTCTCCGGGTTCTCCTGCTTCCTCCCACAGTCCAAAAACATGACTGTCAGGTTAATTGGCCTTCCCAAAATTCTCCCTAGGTGTGAATGTGTGTGTGCATGGTTGTTTGTTGCCCTGCGACAGACTGGCGACCTGTCCAGGGTGAACCCCGCCTCTCGTCCGGAACGCAGCTGGAGAGGCACCAGCACCTCCCGGGCCCGTTAGGGAGAAGGGTAACCAGAAAATGGATGGATGGATAATCCTGATTCGTCATGTGAAACTCTATCTATCTATCTATCTATCTATCTATCTATCTATCTATCTATCTATCTATCTATCTATCTATCTATCTATCTATCTATCTATCTATCTATCTATCTATCTATCTATCTATCTATCTATCTATCTATCTATCTATCTATCTATCTATCTATCTATCTATCTATCTATCTATCCATCTATCCATCCATCCATCCATCTATCCATCCATCCATCCATCCATCTATCCATCGTGTCTTTATTGGGCAGCAAAGCGCTAAGAGCCAAACTTCACTCAGGGGTCCCGAGCGGGGCCCTCTCTCGCCGGAGGCCATAAAGTTTGCCCCGCGCTCGGTTTAATTGCTGTCACATGTAACCTTACCTGTCCCCCAATTAGCCCGCGCTTTGCTATTAGGAGATTTCTGCGAGCTGCGCATTGGCCCAGCAACCCGGGCTCCTCGGGGTTTGGGGGGTAATTAGAGTGTAATTCAATCCAGCCGAGGCTTATGATCAATTTGACCAGGACTTCACCCAGAGGAGGCTAATTAAATGAGGATCAGCGCGATGTTCACCCATTAATCTGCAAATAGGACAATAACCGTCCAGGCAAATACCTTCAGGACAAAATAAAATATTTGAGGGTTTTTTATGATGAATCAACATAAGAAGTGGAATTAAACAAAATTATATGTTTTCTTAATTTTGCAAATAAGAATAAACAAACTGGGCTTGTCCACTTTACTCTGATGCCTCTAAATAAATCCAGTGTGCACATGTGTGCAGTGTGACCTCATTATAATCCAGCTGCTCCGTTTCTGGCCTCGTTGGTTCGTTAGAGAACATTACGGAACAACCAGCGCCATGAAAACCAGGGAACCCAGCAGAAAGGTCAGCGAGGAAGTTGGAGAGGTTGAAAGCAGGGTTAGTTTCTACAACAACATCCCCAGCTTTGAACATCTCAAGCGCTCAGTTCAATCCATCATCTGAACGTGGAAACAGGATGGACCAAGATGGAGGTCGGCCGCATTGATCAGGCTGCAGAACTTGAGGTTCAGGTCAACGAGTCGCAGCAGAAATCCGGAGCTGCAATGGAAAGGTTTACATCAGGGGTGTCCAAACTGTGGCCCCGGGGCCATTTGCAGCCTTCAAAAGGTTTTGTGTGGCCCTTGATAAGAATTCATAAGCTGAATTCATAAATTTGGTTTATCAGTTCAGGAGGGTAACGGGTCAGAGAATAATTTCTACTCATTTGAGGTCTTTTAAAAGGAATATTAAAATTACAGGATGAAAATGTATTTGTGTTTTTTTTAGTGCTTCCTTTAGTTTGGTATTAAACTGGACTTCAAACAATCAAATGTTTGCTGCAAAGCAATTAAACATTTATTTATCCTGGCTAAATAATTTGTGAGCAATCTCCTGTACTTGATCCTAAAATACAAACACAAAAAGTCACATTTACCACATTCTCTGCTTTTTGTCTCTGTTGCTGTTAATCAGAAAAATCTGAGTTTCTTTAAGATCTGGATCTGCTGTGGTTCATGGATCCGTTATCGACAGAAACCACACTGCTTTTGGTGTTTCAATACAACTTTGTTTGGTTCTTGACAAGCAGCAAAGATAACAAATAAAATAGTTTTAGCAATCTTTATTACAAAATGCATAATCCATTTTTTGTGCCGTCAAGTACTTCCGACGTTACACATTTTAGCCCCATGGCAAGAAGCATAGAGACCTTTAATTTACATTAAAGCATAACTATGAGTTAGAGTGGTCCAGTCAAAGTCTAAATCTAAATTAATTTGATATTCAGAGGCAAGATTTGCTCTCCATCCGATCTAAAATCAGTCATCACACTGAAGAATGGATCTACACACGATTGACACAGAGTGGCTAAATGTATGCCACACTTTTCAGTGTTATGCAGCTCTTTGCATCATCCCAGATAAAATCCAAATAAAATCAAAGCAATAGAATAAAATAAATGAAGAATGTGTTTGTAATGCTGTAATATTGCAAAATATCGTTCCAGGGATCTGAAGCCATTATAAAACATGATGCACATCAAGTCAAATTTACAACTTTATGTTTGTTTCATACTTAAAATTCTCTGCACCAAATAGAATCATAAAAAATAGATTTGTCATAAGCTCCTTACGACCCAATTATCTACTTTTTCCCCACAAAGAAAACCAATACTTTGCCTTAAACATGGATGAACAGCTCTAAACTGATCTGAGGTCAGTTTGGATGCTAACGTAAATATCATGTTAGGATTTGTGTTTTTGTACGCAATCCTTTCCAGCTTAATACCTGCAACCTGTTCACGCATGCACAAGCAATTCCTGCTTCATCCTCCAGCCAGGGAGCAGAGGACCAAATAGCAAAGGTAACATGTCCAAACACAGACAGTTCAACCTCTGCTCCATAAATTATGCGTCTTCACCAGAACTGTGCTGTTTGATCATGTTGTTCAGCTTTTGCCCCGTTGATTCTGAAAAACTGGACGGTGACATGCAGAGTATCTTGAGCCATGCGTGTGACTCTCAGTGATGGATGATGGGACCAACTGTTGCAGGAGGTCCAGGCACACGAGGGTGTCACAGCGGGGCCAAGGGGTGGTGAGCATGACCGCATCGCATGGCCCAGGAAACGCAGGGGCCACGGTTACGTGTTAATTTATATTCGTCCTGACAACGCCACCGCCAACAAGGTGGCGCTCCGCTTCAGCCGATGCTAAATGCGTCTCATTGAGGAAGAGGCCGTCAACTGAGCAGGTATGAAACCTGAGCATGATACGGAAAAAGGAAATCTTGTTTGTGAAAAAGTTCCCATGTCTTGCATGATGTTATCTGGATGGTCCACACTCACAGGAGGCTAATTGGCTCTTTAGTGTTTCAGAAAAGACTGCTGATGGACAGACAGCGATGGAAACAAGAAGAATTAGTTTGCCTTGGTGCTTGTTCAGCAGAAGGAGGTGAAAATATTGAGTGGAGGTAAATTTATGATGAGTTTACTCTTTGAGTTTTCCCCAGAGAAACTGATGACAAACATCAAGAGGTTTTACGTTTGAAATTCTTTGAAATGTAAACTATAAACAGACAGAGGTGGAAAATGTGCAAAAGACATCAAACTTTTTAAATTCTGACAGTAAGGACATTAAAAAGAACAAATATGAGATTTTCTCTCCTTAAAAGTAACAAATCATCAGCATTAATGTTCATGTTCAATGTGACTCTCACTCTGGCTGAGCTACAGAAAGTTTAACTGAAAGAACAAAAACTCTGGACTAAAAGGGCAGCTCTTGATTTATGATGAAAATATTCTTGACTATCAGCAAAATTGTCTTTCAGCAACACACCTTTTGGTCTGGACCAAGCAGGGAAATGAGTTTTGATTTGATCACAGTGGACCAAAAGGTAAAACGTGGATCAGTGTCGCGTCAAGGTTAAAAGATGAGCGAAGAACTAAAGAGGTGTGTTGCTG